TTAAGTTGTGACCATCTCTGTACCTACCAGTGCTTTGTCTGATATCAAGATAGTTACCTAGTTTCCTTTGGGATGATTTCTGCTTGATATTCTTTCCAAAATTTTTACTGTCAAACTTAATGGGTTGTTTTGTATTAGGCATATCTTCTGTAAACGGCACATGTTGGATATTGTTTCCTATTCAATATGACAACCTATCTTCTTACTGGCAAGATTAGTTTATTTGATTATTGATATATCTGGAACTTATTTATATCATCTTGATTTTTTGTTTTCTACTTTTCCCTAGTTTAACTTTCACTTATTTTTTTCTTTTCTTGCAATCTAATTTTTCGTTTAAATAATTGAGGTGTTTTGTTTGGTTGTTTGGTTTTTCTTATTCCATACCATCCCACCTCCTTTTTCAGTTCTATTAGAGCTTAATCTTGAAATGTCAGCGTGTATAGGCAAAAGTGAAAGTGCTAGTCGCTCCGTTGTGTCCAACTCTGCAACCCCACGGACTGTAGTCTGCCAGGCTCCTCTGTCCATGGGATTCTCCAGGCAGGAATGCTGGAGGGGGCTGCCATTTCCTCTTCCAGGTAGTCTTCCCGACCCAGGGATCGAGCCGGGGTCTCCTGCATTGCAGTCAGATTCTTTACCATCTGAGCCGTCAGGGAAGCCCATGCATACAGTTCTAACTTCTCTCATACCCCACTTCAACAAAGCAATAATTTCAGAGTACTTTAAGTCTCATCATTTCCTTCCTGATTACACACTGTTATTTTCTGATAATTTAGGTATAATGTTTTTAAACTGACATGCCATAGTATTATTATTACTACTATTATTGCTATCATTTAGAAACTCTATTTAGAGTTCTGACACATTTCGAACTTGTTTGTTCAACATTCCTTCTTGAATGTGGAACCATTTTCCAACGGATTCCAAAACATACCCTTTGGAAGCTGCTTTGCATATGTATGTTGATGGTAAACCCTCTTTGTTTTTACTCATCTAGATATTCCTCTCTCATGCTTGAAAGATTGTTTTCATAGGTATACAATGTGTTGTTATTGTCTCTCAGCACATTGAAGGTATTCTTTTCACTCTTTTCGGACACCCATTGCTGTTGGAACTCTCATCACACATGGAACTGCTGTGTAGAGAATCTGTCTTTTTACTCTGGCTATTTTTAAAACCACTTTTCTTTACCTTGGTGAAATTTCACTCTTGTAAGTCTAAATGTGGCTTTCTCTTTATTTAAACTGCTTTGCAAACACAATCCTTTCTCTTTAAACTGCTTAGAAAACACATGGATACCTTTTAATAGCTGAAAAATACCCACTCACCATCCCATCCAGTGATGCCTCACTTCCAATTTTTCTCTTTATTTCTTTCCTATAATCTAATTAGACACATTCCAACATCTTATCTTCCCTCTGTTTTTCTATCTTTTTTCCCAGTGTGTTGTGTTGGGTAATTTCCTCAGATATTTTTTACTGTTCACTAAATCTGTCTTCAGCTGGCACTAATCTATTGCTTAACATAGTCATTTAATTTATAATTTCAATAATCACATTTTTCACTTCTAAAAGTTCTAGTTGATCTGAACAGGCCTATTCAGATTTGGTAATCTCTTGTTCTTCTAACCTACTTTCAATATTCTTTTTTTATTTCTTATATAATACAAGGGAAAGCAAGGGAATTCCGGAAAAAACATCTACTTCTGCTTCACTGACTACACTAAAGCCTTTGACTGTGTGGATCACAACAAACTGTGAAAAATTCTTAAAGAGATAGGCATACCAAACCACCTTACTGGCCTCCTGAGAAACCTGTACGCAGTTCAAGAAGCAACAGTTAGAACTGGACACGGAACAACAAAATGGTTCAAAATTGGGAAAGGAGTATGGCAAGGCTATGTATAGTCACCCTGCTTATTTAAGTCATATGCAGGATACATCATGCAAATGCTGGGCTGGATGAATCACAAGCTGGAGTCAATTACTGGGAGAAATATTAATAACCTCAGATATGTAGAGGACACCACATTTATGGCAGAAAGTGAAGAGGAACTAAAGAGCCTCTTGATGAAAGTGAAAGAAGAGAGTGAAAAAGTTGCCTTAAAGCTCAACATTCAGAAAACTAAGATTATGGCATCCAGTCCAATCTTCATGGCAAATAGATGGGGCAACAATGGAAACAGTGACAGACTTTATTATCTTGTGCTCCAAAGTCACTGCTGATGGTGACTGCAGCCATGAAATTAAAAGACGCTTGCCCCTTGGAAGAAAAGCTATGACAAACCTAGATAGCATATTAAAAAGCAGAGACATCAATGTCCACAAAGGTCCGTATAGTCAAAGCTATGGTTTTTCCAATATTTCATGTATGGATGTGAGAGTTGGACCATAAAGAAGGCTGAGTGCTGAAGAATTGATGCTTTCAAACTGCAGTGCTGGAGAAGACTCTTGAGAGTCCAAGGGATCTCCAGCAAGGAGACCAAACCAGTCAATCCTAAAGGAAATCAGTCCTGAATATTCATTGGAAGGACTGATGCTGAAGCTAAAGCTCTGATAATTTGGCCACCTGATGCAAAGAGCCGACTCATTGGAAAAGACCCTGATGCTGGGAAAGATTGAGGGCAAGAAAGAAGGGGCAACAGAGGATGAGGTGGTTGGATGGCATCATCAACTCAATGGATATGAGTCTGAGCAAACTCTGGGAGATGGTGAAAGACAACTACTATTCCATGCAACTCATGAGAGAATTCCCTTGTTTGAACAAATAATTATACAGTTACCTACCTTGATACCAGGCTCCCAGCCACCAAGAATCAGCAAACACCCAGCAAGTATCACATGCAGCTGCTTTTTATCGGTCTGGAGTCACATGTTATCATTGTTTTCTGGACACTGCTTACTTCATTTACCATATGAACTGATCAACTATGCCTTCAAAACATTAAAAATTTTTTATGCAGAATATTTAGGTGTTCTTTATAAGACTGTTTTTACTTTCCTATCCTTTGAACTTTTTGTTCATCATTTTCTTGGAAATATGTGCATTTCAGCTGTTTTCCTTATGTCTATGAAGTACATGGCCTATTGAATGAATTACATAAATGCTGATTGAAAGAATGAATAATTCAAGTACTTCTGTTTTAAATATTTTGCAATGAACTTCAACTGTGTTTAAAAAAAACAGTTCTTTTTTTTGACTCTGTGATCTTACTCCTGAGAAGGTGTGAACTTTGAGCTGTTGATTTTAACATATTTATATTTGCAAAAATTTGGAAACAACTAAGGTAGCAAAGAGTCGGACACGACTGAGCGACTGAACTGAACTGAACTGAAGGTATCAGTTATGGCTATGCAATAGAAGAGTATAAAATTCCATGTATATTGTGACCATAAATAAGACATAACATGCACACGATGTAGACATGGACCAAAAGTCAGTAAGAAAATGCTGACTTATCAGAAAAGTAAGGTTTGGTTCCCTTTTCCTTTTTATAACTTGCAATTATTGTTACCACATTGTCACCTGGGCAATGGGTATAAATTTTTAATGAAATAAACTCTCTATGGATATACGTATCTTGTTCCTCTTTGTTACAGCCAGAGGGAAAACGCACTTGGTGTCAGACAGGCCTAGGTTAAATCGTTAAGCCATCATTTAATAGCTGAAGTCAGGTCTTCACTCTTTCACTCCTTCACAGCTATAGGTAAGGAATTCTGATGCACCGCTTAACTCTGGGCTCAGTCCCACAGTTCCTTTGGTACATAGGATGCCAGCAAAAAGGATTCAGGTTTCCTTATGTGCCCAAGGGCTTCCTTTTCTACCTCTACTTTGCTGTGAGAACAAGCTAGACTGGCCAGGTGATGGGACACAGTAGGGATTAGAGGAGAACCAAGTTGCGCTGGCCACCAGTCTCCTGGTCTGAAGCTGACCACAGACATTTGGCTACGCCACCAAGTATCCGACAATCATCTAGCCAACTTTTAGACTTATCAACTAAATTATCTACAATTAGATGATTTAATTGATGATTAAATCAACGATTTAAGCCCTTATTAGAATAGCTTGTTATGCAGCATTATCTATGGCAGTAGGTAATTGACACATCCCCTCCTTCTTTATCTAATGCTAGGCCCTAACAGATGTGTTTGGAGACACCACAGTGAAGGCTTTTCTGTCACTGTCCCTTCTCCCTGGAGTTGAATGAAAAATTCATGCTACCATAAATAGCTATCCATATATGTGTGTTAGTCGCTCAGTCATGACCGACTCTTTGCAACCCCATAGGGTATAGCCCACCAGGTTTCTCCGCCCATGGGACTTCCTAGGCAAGAATACTGGAGTGGGTTGCCATTTCCTTCTCCAAGACCATTCTCCAGCGGATCTTCCTGACCCTGGGATCGAATCCAGGTCTCCTGTATTGCAGGCAGACTCTTTACCTTCTGAGCCACTAGGGAAGCCCTAGCTATCCATATAGCTATCCAACAGCTCACCTCATTCATAGCTATCATAGCATCTGTCATTTTTTTAAACATTTATTTCTTCACTTGTTTCTCTGTTCCTCTCTGCAAGAATGATTTGAAAGTAGAAAATAAATTGTTCATATCCATATCTACAGCATCTGGCTGTACAACATCTACAGAGTAGACCCTCCCTAAATGCTTTGTTTGAATTAAATGATTGGATTTGGGGAGCTGACATGAACCCAAACAGCCAGCAGCAGGTGGCAGGAAGCATAACCACATAAGCTGGTTCTTGTGCTGGGATGCCTTATGCTTTCCAGAAAGCCCAAACAAGGTGGGTGGGGAACCAAACAAAGAAGAGAAGCACATTCATTCTGCTCTCCCACACCCTTCTCTCTTTCCCCACACTGCACACAGGCTCTGAGCCACTCATGCCCCTGAAGAGTGCTGCCCCATCCGGGCTCCCTCTGCCACTGCTGGGCACCTCACTCAACCCGGGGGATGCGCCAATGCCCACCGGGGCTTTCCTCATCATACCTTTAGATCAGATACGTCTCTGTAGCACTGCTCGGAGCGGGTGTGGTCCGACAGCTGCACGTTCCAGAAGCAGGGCAGCTGATACACGAGGAAGGGGTTTTGTTTGATGACAGCGTTGAAAATGTCCTGGGAGATAAAAGCCAGAGACAACAACCAGTCAAATGGGCTCAGCTTGTGATGCTGGCTCTCAAGGCATGACATCTCTCCTGTGCAATCTCTCATGAGCCTCCTGCTTGGAGTACAGGCTGGCTTGCGCTGCTGGGCATTTCCCGTGCCTTTTATCTCTAGAAACCAAGCAATCCTGTTTGGCTAGATCCCCTTGCGCTGGGGCGAATGCCCCACGCTGACTTGATGCTCACAGGTCCTGCTGGTCGGAGTGATCCCCTTCCAGCAAAGGGACATGGGGGTAGACAAAGAGCATCTTTTCCACTCGAGCCGGTATATAATAAATGAAGTCGCTTTTCTGGCCCTCTTCTCACCTCACAGAGGAACCCTGTGTCATCCATCCTGAGCCTCCTGGAGAGGAAACTGTGTGATGACAAGTCACTCCGCTGATTCAGGGGCTGAGACAAATGACACATCCTGCTTCAGCAGCATTTCCTGGGGCTCTGGGCAGACTTGAAGATGGATGTGCCTGGGACTCCTGTGGGCCAGGGTGCCTGTATCTGCGCTCTCCATCTCCAAAGTCAACTCTGACTTTTCTATGGGGCTTTCCTCTCTTTCCAGCTTTTCTCCAAGCTCCTACACCAGCAGGCTATGCTTATTAACTAGCTGCTGACAGGTGGTGCCGGAAGGTGAATTATGGGTCTTCACAGAAGGAGAAGGCTGAATAAACTATCCTCATTGGACATGGACATGCAATTGCTAGCTTTTGGGGACACACTCAAGTCATTGTGACCCGACTTGAAATATGATGATGGAGGACAATTTTCCCCTCAGGTTTAAAACACCTACCTGGGTAATTTTTAACTCATTCATTATACCATATCTCCTGTTTGAAAAAGGAAATTAGTTTCTGGCTGCTTGGGAAATACTGAATAATAAGAATGCTAAAAAAAAAATAGTAAAGTAACCCTACAGAGTTTCTTGTTTCCTTCATACTAGAAAACTCCAAGAATTCAGTGAATCAGGCAGCTGAATGATGAACAAAAACAAGGAGAGTGGGCTTGCTTTTTGGTTGAACAGGAAAGGATAACATGCAGCGAACTCAGAGATATCTTTACATTTCGAGATGGCCACATATAACATGGGAATCTCAGAATCAAGATGTGTGATCCTAGTAGATTCAAAGTCAAAGGCTCAGCAAAAATGAGAAGTGGGGATTTTATGAATTTATGTTAGTTGCTTGCTGTAGTTCATGGACTTTTTCAGACTGCCTGGATTAAAAGCTGATTTCACCAGCCAAGGAGGTTTGTCCCTTCTATTTAAATTCATTCCCCTTGAGGATGGGGGTCACAGTATAGGAGCTAAGCAAAAGGCTTGGCTTTAAAAGTTAGATTCTATTTCCCACGAAGGCAAATGAAATCTTGTCCGGGAAATATGCCTTGGCATTTTGGAATCTCAGAGGGCAGGCACTGTGCATTCTACACTGAGGTGAAGACCGTGACCTCCTCTTAACACACCAAATTATCATTTACTTGTGAGTCGACATCAATAAACTATGAACTTTCTGAGGCCAAGGATTCTGTCCTTCGTTTATCCCTGTAATCCTATTTCTGAAGATAGCTCCTGGCATGCACAGTGTGCAGGAAAAAGTGTGATAAACATGGATGAACAGGGGGAATGAACTAAGGAGAGGGCTGTGGTCTTAGGCTGGCAAGAATGAGGCAGATCTATCCAAGTGTGAAGTCATGCAAGAGATGGAAAAACAATGTAGACCCAGCCGCATGCAGGTTTGAGAAGCAGCATACCAGGGGGCTTGGGAATAACCGTACCTTCTAGACTGGTGACTCACCTGGTCAGCTAAGGACGTAGAGAGCATGCCCATCAGCTCCCTCTCTGCAGTCAGCCTCCACATCTGCTCCCACTTCATCTTCCGCAGCTTATCTAGAAGCAGCAGGATCACCCCTGGACAACAGCATAGGATGAAACAGAGGGAAAAAACCACAGATAAGAGAGACAGCCAGGCATGCCTAACCACGTGTTTTAGAGACGAGCATGCCTGGGTTCACCCCAGGCTCTGCCAGGTGCTTGGTAGGAGACGATAAATAGTCTCTCTGAAATATCCTCACTGTATTTAGAACATTAACGGAGATCTCAGAAGCCGCTGCAGGGACCAAGTGAGATGGACAAAGGAGCCTAGCACTCCCTGGAGATGGATGGTGATGATGGTCGCACAACATGGTGAACATACCTAATGCCATTGAACTGTACACTTAAAGATGGTTAAAACGGCATTTTTATGTTTTGTATATTTTACCACCAGAAAAAAGAAAAAAGAGCCTAGCACTGCATATCTGACACATGGTACATACCCTGTAAACAGATTCTCTCCCGTTTTCCCCAGATAAATGACAAGCTACTGAGGGCTAGCTGATAGATGGTGTTTGTACAAACTGTGTCATTCATCTCTACAGAAACAAAGCAGATCTTCTCTGACTTTATTATGGGTGTGTCTTTGCCAATTTGCTTTATACCACCTGACAAGCCATATGAGCTCATTGCAGTATTGCTGCTTTTAACAGCTTTCTTTGGCCCAATGCATTAGACACAGGTAGAAACTATGGTGAAGGCTGTGCTGATGCTGGGTGTTCAGATGGGGCCCTAAGAACCTTCAAGTTCATAAGAAACTAATTGTCAGATGTTGCTTCCTCCTCCTCTCTACCCTCTTTTTTTGGGGGTGGTTTATGGGAGAGACTTGAGTGAATGGGGGATTGTATAGGAAGGGAAGGGATTTCCTGGTGGCTCAGTGGTAAAGAATCTACCTGCCAATGCAGGAGACATGGATTTGATCCCTGGGTCAGAAAGATCCCCTGGAGAGGGAAATGACAACCTACTCCAGTATTCTTGTCCAGGGGAAATCCCATGGAAATTCCCATGGAAGGGAAATTGTCATTTTATACACCTTTGTATTTTTAAAAATGTTAAAAACAACTAAATGTATTATTCAGGTAAAAATAAATTAGAAAAAGTCTAAAAAGAAAAGTACATTTTTGGCTTAGCTGACTAGCTTAGGAGCGAGTGTCTACTAATTGGTTGGTGAGCGTATGCAGAGAAGGTACACAGCACAGAACACAAACCGCCAAAAGGACGCCCCTGCAGGCTACTGCAGTTAATTTGGTGGATGGAATTGTGGCACCCATGGGCTCCCAAATCAGTCCTCCTCAGGAAGCCCTAGCTCAGCAGAACAGTCAGTGGAGAAAACTCCGGGCAGCTGAAAAATGATCTTACTTGATACCTAGTACATACATTTCTAAGATTGTTGGAAAGAAACCGATTCCCCAAATCACACATAAATGTCAACACTGAGAGACTTTTTTAAAAAAACTTATTCCAGTGGAACATATTTGGAGAAAAAAGTATATTTACTATTTTGTGAAAGGTGTTTGGTCCATTGGGTAGAGCTGAAATAAAAAAAAATACATATATATGGTTATGGCAAGAATGGGCTAATACACAGAGATCTGAACTTGTAAGTCAAAAGGGCAAATCATACCTATTGCACATCTCCCTGGTGCTTTGTTAGGTTTTTTTTGCACATGGATAAGCTAGATATTGTCACCCTTATTTTTCAGGAGGGGAGGCTGAGGGGGTTGACGCTGGGTCAGACACTTGAACAGTTCACTGTGCAAGAGCAGTTCTATGAGATCCAAAGTCAGATCTGCCTGACTCCAAAGCCAGAGCTTCTTCAGCGACACCACACAGACCAGAGTCCCAGCAATGCCTCTGTGGAGTTCTGTGACTCAGATCAAGACTTGTTCTTTTTCTGACTTTTGGTTTCTACCTGGGTTGTTGTAGTTTAGTTGCTAAGTTGTGTCCGACTCTTTTTCGACCCCATGGACTGTAGCCTATCAGGCTCCTCTGTCCACGGGATTTTCCAGGCTGGAGTGGGTTGTCATTTTCTTCTCCAGGGGACCTTCCTGACCCAGGGATTGAACTCCCATGTCTTCTGCATTGCAGGCTGATTCTTTACCATTGGGCCACCAGGGTTACTTGCCCTTGCAAACTCAGAAAACTGCCACATGCCCTAGGGGTAGGCTGGTAAATGTTTAACCATAAGCATTGCAAAAAATGCCAAGAAGGCTAAGTGGTTGTCCGAGGAGGTCTTACAAATAACTGAGAAAAGGAGAGGAGGGAAAGACAAAGAAGAAAGGGAAAGATATACCCAACAGAATGCTGCAGAGTTCCAGAAAATAGCAAGGAGAGAGAAGAAAGCCTTCATAAGTAAACAATGCAAAGAAATAGAGGAAAACAATAAAATGGGAAAGACTAGAGATCTCTTCAGGAAAATTGGAGATACCAAGAGAAAATTTCATGCAAAGATTGGCACAGTAAGGGACAGAAATTGTATGGGCCTAACAGAAGAGATTAAGAAAAAGTGGCAAGAATACACAGGAAAAGTATACAAAAAAGTCTTAATGACCTGGATAACCACAACGATATGGTCACTCACCTAGAGCCAGACATCATGGGATGTGAAGTCAAATGGGCCTTAGGAAGCATTACTATGAAAAAAGCTAGTGGAGGTGATGGAATTCCAGCTGAGCTTTTTCAAATCTCAAAAGATGATGCTGTTAAAGTGTTGCACTCAATATGCCAGCAAATTTGGAAAACTCAGCAGTGGCCACAGGACTGTGAAAGGTCAGTTTTTACTCCAATTCCAAAGAAGGGCAAAGCCAAAGAATGTTCAAACTACCATATAACTGTGTTCATTTCACATGCTAGCAAGGTAATGCTCAAAATCCTTCAAGCTAGGCTTCAGCAGTACGTGAACTGAGAACTTCCAGATGTACAAGTTGGGTTTAGAAAAGGCAGAAGAACCAGAGATCAAACTGCCAACATCCGTTGGATCATAGATAAAACAAGAGAATTTCAGAAAAACATCTACTTCTGCTTCATTGACTATGCTAAAGCCTTTGACTGTGTGGATCACAATAAACTGTGGAAAATTCTGAAAGAGATGGGAATACCAGACCACCTGACCTGCCTCCTGAGAAATCTGTATGCAGGTCAAGAAGCAACAGTTAGAACCGGACATGGAAGAACTGACTGGTTCTAAATTGGGAAAGGAGTACATCAAGACTGTATATTGTCACCCTGCTTATTTAACTTATATGCAGAGTACATCATGTGAAATGTTGGGCTGGATGAATCACAAGTGGGAATCAAGATTGCCAGGAGAAATATCAACAACCTCAGATATGTGAATGATACCACCCTAATGGCAGAAGATGAAGAAGAACTAAAGTGCTTCTTGATGAGGGTTAAAGAGGAGAGTGAAAAAGCTGGCTTAAAACTCAGCATTCAAAAAATTAAGATCATGGCATCCAGTCCCATCACTTCATGGCAAGAACAGATGGGGAAAAAGTGGAAACAGTGACAGATTTTATTTTCTTGGGCTCCAAAATCACTACGGATGGTAACTGCAGTCATGAAATTAAAAGATACTTGTTCTTCGGAAGAAAAACTATGACAAACCTAGACAGAGTATTAAAAAGCAGAGATAGCACTTTGGTGACAAAAGCCCGTATAGTCAAAACTATGGTTTTCCCAGTAGTCATGTACAGATGTGCAAGTTGGACCATAAAGAAGGCCGAGCACCAAAGACTTGATGCTTTCAAACTGAGGTGCTGGAGAAGACTCTTGAGAGTCTCCTGGACAGCAAGGAGATCAAACCAGTCCATCTTAAAGGAAATTCACTCTGAATATTCATTGGAAGGACTGACACTAAAGCTTCAATACTTTAAAAGTGTCTGGTATAAGCCATGATTTATGACTTTCTACCTTGAAATAAAGATTCCATGACATTAAAAAAATTACTGAGTACAGTAGAAACTGTTCTCAATACTGCTGACTTCAGAAATATTGATAATAAATGTCTATACCCACTCATTTATTTATGAACCTAAATTCATTGGTCTTTCTAAAAACCTCCTTGTGCATGTAGAAAGCACTGGACACTTAAAAACTGTGAGATATTGCCAGGTCTATATTGCTTCTTAGTCTTTTGTCAATAGGTAGCTTAAGACTCTTGAGAGTCCCTTGGACTGCAAGGAGATCAAACCAGTCAATCCTGAAGGAAATCAACCCTGAGTATTCATTGGAAGGATTGATGCTAAAGCTCCAATACTTTGGCCACCTAATGCGAAGAACTGACTCATTGGAAAAGACCCTGATGCTAGGAAAGATTGAAGGCAGGAGGAGAACAGGATGACAGAGGATGAGATGGTTGGATGGCACCACCAACTCAATGGACATGAGTTTGAGCAAATTCGGGGAGATGGTGAAGGACAGGGAAGCCTGGCGTTCTGCAGTCCATGGGGTCACAAAGAGTCGGACTCGACTGAGCGACTGAACAGCAACAGCTTAGGGGGTCATCAGCTAAGCACTTGTGTGACTAGGATGTCCCTTGGGGATATTGCAAGTGGCTGCCAAGGCATACAACCCACAGGAAATAAATAAAAGAAGATCGAAGGAAAGAAAATACACTTCAAGGCTTCCTGATGGCTCAGTGGTAAAGAATCCACCTGCCAATGCAGGAGACACGAGTCTGATTCCTATCAGGAAAGATCCCACACGCCGCAGGGCAACTAAATCTGTGCACCACTGGTACTGAGCCTGTGCTCTGGAGCCCGGAAGCCACAACTACAGAAGCCCGCACTCTAGAGCCTCAACAGAAGCCTTCTCAACAATGAGCTCACATATCGCAGCTAGAGAGTACGTCCCACTTGCCACAACTAGAGAGAAGTCTGCTCAGCAGTGATGACCCAGCACAGTAAAAAAAAAAAATTAATCATTTAAGAAAAAGAAAATACACTCTATCATGTACATAATTGTGTCTTCAAGCAGCTAAGGAGTCTGTTAGGCTGTTAAATATAATCACATGGGTATGCATTTGTAAGAGAATCTTCGTGTTTCGTCAAAGGTGGGGAATTTGTACCCAGATTGTACAAGAGCTGAAAAACATTTCCAAGGGAACCACAACTCTCAGTACTTATTGACCTCACTCCTACAGTGCTGAGAGTTGCCCTGATAAATGATTGTGAAGGTCTCTGGAAATATGAAGTGGTACAGAAAAGCTTGTAAATAACAGTTACAGAAACTATACATTTCTTCATTAAGGTACCTAATTATCACTCATTGAACTTGCTTGATTCCCACTTGAATTAACATAAATTAATGGGCATGCACGCAATGTGGGAGGAAGCTTGTTCAGTGAACCCTAGTTAAAAATGATGAAAATGGCTTCTTCTGCAATTGGACCTTTTCAAGCTGAAACAACACAGCTTTGGCTTTGGAATATGGGCCCCAGGACAGAGATTGACACTGCTTCCTGCTGTCAGGGGGACAGAGGTGCCAAAAAGCTTGACTCTGGCCTTTGCCTGGCATTTGCTGCTACGTGATTTGCCATTTCCATTCTTGCCATGGGGGTCTGGGAGCGAAGAGCGAGCCCTTGGCCCCGGAGGCCAGTGCTCTGCACGGAGGCAGCATGCCTGGAATTTGAAAGGCCCTCCTAGTGGAGCTGGCTGGTATGTGTGGGGCTTGCACAGCCTTACCTTCTGCTGCTGTGCTGGGAGCTTAAGAGACTAACACTAAATAAATAAATGAATAAATAAATGAAAAATCAAAGGCTTCTCCTGTGAACATCTGGTCCAGCGGTGGGGCGTTTCATCCCCAGATCAGAGGACAATGTTTCTTTTTCCCAAACTGAATATGTAGTAACAGCTTGGTAGCCAATATGGCAGGGAGAGGAGGCTGGATGTGAATACAGAGACAGAATATAACGCTTTTTTAAAAAAATGAGCCAGATACTGATTTTTTTTTTAAAGCAATGCAACTGCAAGAGGGAAGCAGAATAAAAATGGTGACAAGCTGATGAGTGTCACCTACTATTTATTAAGCAACTTCTGTATCCCAAAAACAAGTTGCATGACCTAGATGACCTCCAACTCTTACGATGAGCCGGCTAGGTTCATGGAATTATTCCCATTTTTGAGATGAAGAAACTGAGGCTCATGTCTAGCTGGTAGGTGACCAAATTCATCTCACTCTTAGCCCTGTGGTCTCTTGAGCTACACCAGACCACCTTGTGGTATGTGTGTGTCTGTGTACATGACCATAGTAAATATGGTGAGACTTTGCTGAATCTGTGACCTGAAGCCAAAACAAGTCAGGGAGCCCCTAGAGGAACAGTTAGTGAATGTTTGAAGGATTCTGCGAAGACCACAGGCCAAAATCAGATTGCATGTGTCAGAACCTGGAGGAAACCAAGCATTCAAAGACAGGAGAGGCAGGGAGCCTTGCGTGACTGAGGCTGCTCGTGTAGGTGGGGTCTGAACCTGTAAAAGGGACCATGGGTTGGAGCCGAGAATAATTTAAAGCAGTATGCTGTTCCATAGCTAACATGTCAATTCCCCTCGCACATGGCACAGAAATCCTCTTCTTTCTGTATCTGAGTCCACAACTAACCTCTTAGCCTGTGCTGTACCACCTCCTGCAGACCAGGAGAATCCCTTAAAGTCCTTCTAGCAAAGGGAAGACCTCAAGCTCGTATTAAGAAAAAATCTGCTGTTTAAGAGGAGGTTCTGGGACTTTCCGAGTGTTTCACTAGCTAAGACTCCATGCTCCAGGGAGTCTGGGTTTGATCCTTGGCCAGGGAACTGGATCCCACATGCCACTACTAAAGATTGCATACCACAACTAAAAAGATCACTGTGACTCAGTGCTAAAGAATCTTCCTGTAATGCAGGAGATGCAAGAGACACAGGTTCTATCCCTGGGTTGGAAATGGCAACCGACTCCAGTATTCTTGTCTGGGAAATCTCAAGGACATGGGAGCCTGGCGGGGTATAGTTCATAGGATTGAAAAGAGTTGGACATGACTTAACAATTGAGAATACACGCTGCAACGAAGATCAAAGATCCTTTGTGCTACAACTAAGACCTGGCACAAATAAATACTTAGTGTAAAAAAAAAAGTAAAAATGAGGAGGTTCTGCCTCTGCTTTCTTTCTTTCTTTCCATGCAGTCTGCTTTCACACTTCAGCCAAGCTAAAGAATATGACTGGGACAGACTGGGTCAATTCCAATCACGTGCTTCCTTAAATCAGTAGAAGAAACTGAGGTACAAAGTGGCTATCTGAGGCCTTTGACCAGTGGAGGACAAATTTCAGATTAAATCTTTTATTCCCAGAGGCAGTGTTTCCCACAGTATGTTCCATGGCCTGCTGCAGGATGCTAACAGACGTTATGGGAAGCAGGGTCTGCACTGTTAAATAAGTTTAGGAGATAGGGGGTTAAATACAGTTAAACTGTGTTGGTTTTATCAATGTGCCTCATGAATCTCAAAGGTGGTAACCGCATCTACACTTTCTAGATTTATTTAGCAGGACCTTTCCCCCAGGAAACTGGTAGAATATTGCTTTTCCCCTTTGCCTGAGTCCTCTCTGGCTTCTGTCTGCATTTTCTCAGCGCTCTGCCTGCACTTCAAGGGCTGATATATGAAAATGGAAATCTATCCCTTGCTTCTTCCTTTAGCCCTTCCTGTTGCTTTGCTCTCTTCAATCAAAGAAACAAAACTTAGAGTGGAGATGGAGTGGTTGTCTACACAGCAGCCTCTGGGGAAGATGCCGGCTCCCATCCCAGAAATGTTTATGACCATGTCCCACATAATTCTGACTTTCCTCTCTTCTGCTTTGAAGCACTAGAGTTCTCTTCTTATGCATGATGACCCAATAGAAGGTGAGTTTATTAAAATTCACTTAATTAAAAATCCCCTGCTGATTTTACCTAGGACTTACTTTTGATCATATAAATTAAAAGGTTCTACTTTTCACTTTTTAAGTGTTTTCCTTCTCAAAACCTCTCTATCAGAGGGAGAGAAAATGGAAATCCTTTCTCCTGAAGCGTTCCCTAACTTTGCTGGGGTTTCTGAAAGTGTGAATGGATGAAGCATAAAAAGCAGCTCTATCTTAATAAAAGGCTAGTGGTCATTCACTCACTCACTCATTCGTTCATTCAATAAATGTCTATCAGGTGACTTTTACATGCTAGGCACTAGGTATACGAAGAAGAACGTCCCTGCTCTCAAGAGCCTGGAGGTGTTTGGGGCACTGAAATGAGAAAGGTGTGTTTCGGGCAAGCAAGGTTGGTTCAGAAAGAGTTGAGTTCAGATCTCACACCACGGGGGTGGTCCTTTAAGAGAATACAATGTTACCATAATCTCTTCTTCCCAAGGAACAGAGCCAAGAACATAAAGGGGCTCAGTTCAGTTCAGTTCAGTTCAGTAGCTCAGTCATGGCGACTCTTTGCGACCCCATGAATCACAGCACGCCAGGCCTCCCTGTCCATCACCAACTCCTGGAGTTTACTCAAACTCATGTCCATCGAGGCAGTGACGCCATCCAGCCATCTCATCCTCTGTTGTCCCCTTCTCCTCCTGCTCCCAATCCTTCCCAGCATCAGGGTCTTTTCCAATGAGTATAAAGGGTTTGGTGGCTGGCAAATACCTTTTAACCACTCCTTTTTTTTTTTTTTAACCACTCCTTTTATAAGTGAAATTATATTGAAGTATTATTAATATATACACTCATACAAGTATATAGATCTTAAGTACATAGTGTGATGAATTTTCACAAAGTGAAATCACTGTTTTAACTGGAACTTGGACTAAGAAACAGAACATCACAGAAAGACCAGAATCTCTCTTACTGTCGGCTCAAAGTCACATATATACACACCACCCTGCTGTGATCCTGATTTCTCACACCATAGTTCAGTTTCATCAGGTTCTGCCAGCTAGCCAGTGCGTGCTCAGTCATGTCCAGCTCTCTGCAACCCCATGGACTGAACTCCTTCCAGAGTCCTCTGTCTTTGGAATTTTCCTGGCCAGGAATACTGGGGCACATTGCCATTTCCTACTCCAGGGGATCTTCTGGATGCAGGGATCAAGCCTGTGTCTCTTGCATCTCCTATATTGACAAGTGGATTCTTTACTAACTGTGGCACCTGGGATACCTCATCAGGTTCTGAATTATATATAAATTGAATCATACAGTATGGACTCCTTTTATGCCTGGCCTTTTGGCTCAATATTACTTCTGTGAAACCCATATTACTGCATGTCATTGTAGTCTGTTCACTTAACGCTGCATTATTACCTACACTAAGAATATATCTCACCCTACTTATCCATTACATTGCTGACAGACATGGAGGTTGTTTTCAGTTCCGAAAGCTGATATAACATTCTGGAACGTGTCTTTCGGTGTCACAGGTATGCATTTCTGCTGAGTGCAAACCTACTGTACTTAAGGTAGTTATTAAAGACTTCAGCCCATCTCTTTCAGTTTGAAGAAAGTGTTTTTTTGGATTTGTATGGGGAAAAATACAGAGTGTCCAAGATTTTGATCTTAAAATGACCACTGAACAAAACGGGACATATTATGATGTTTAGAAAAGTCAGGGGTGGGTGCAAAAGCCGAGGACGGTGCCGAGCCTGCCTAGGGGTCCTAAGACCCACAGACTTTCTATCAGGAACCAAAAAATAACTACTCTGTGAAGAGAAGGCAGATCTGCGGCTCGGCTTGTCAGCATGCAGATTTTAATTTTTAACAAATAATGAGTCTGCATCTCCTTACCAGTCTGGCTAGATGCTTCGCTGAACAAGATGATGTCTCATTTGCTCACCAAGAAGGGCAAGACGGCTCGGGAGGCCGAGCGGTGTGGACCAGCCGAACATGCATTAGAGCCTGACTGAACATCGCGCTAATGGACAGCAGAAGGGCAAGGAGCATTTCTGCAACTTCCAACTTAAACCAAAGTGAACCCACACAGAAGGGCACCCTACATATCCTCATCACTCACTCGCTCACACACTTGAAAGAAAAGTAGGCGCTGTAAGAACAGCCGGTGAAGAATGTAGAGCTCACGGCCTTCAGAAGGAATCGCTTGGGATCCCTGGTGGCTGGTTTCCCACTGGAAACATCGCAACGGACCAGAGGGAGGGAGGCAGGAGGGGGCGGTCCTCTCGGCACACTCTCGGGTCTGGGCAGTGCTTCCAGCCGGGCCTCACTCCCATCCCCTGCAGCTTCCTCCAGGCAGCTACCCTTCACAGCTCAAAGTCTCAACTGGTGTCTGACGGCATCACCTCCTTTGCATCCTGTTATGGGCTGAACTATGTCCTCCCTCTAATTCATATGCTGGAGTCCTAACCCCCACCCAGGACCTCAGGATGTGACTATAATCAGAGGGAGGGTCTTCAAAGAAGTGTTAAAGTCATGAGTGCGGGCCCTAATCCAAAAGGAACAGTTATCCTTATGAGAGGAGGACATCTGGACAGACAGGCAGAGAGGGATGACCATGTGAACACACCAGGAGAACACAGCCATCTTGTGAGTAAAGGCTGGAGGCCTCAGAAAGAACCAATCCTTGATCTTGGACTTTTAGCCTCCAGAACTGTAAGGAAATAAATTCTGCTAAGCTGCCCAATCCGTGGTCCTTAGTTACAGTGGCCTCAGGAAACTAACACATATCTCTTGGCCCAGAGCTGGTAACAGTGACCGCTTCTGTTGGTCTCTGTGGCCTCAGCCTGCTTGCTGACACATCAATGCTCTCTGTCTACTCCATAAACAGTCCTTTCATTAAAAGAACTGGAATTAATCTGATAAGATGATGGGGTCCTATTACACATATGTTATTTTATTTAATCCCCTGGACTGCCCCCACTGAAATTGGAATGACCATGCTTATTCTGGGCTTCCCTGGTGGTTCGTGGTAAAGAATCTGCCTGCCAAAGCAGGAGACACAAGTTCGATCCCTGGGTCAGGAGATTCCCTGGAGAAGGAAATGGAAACTCAAGTATTCTTGCCTGGGAAATCCCATGGACAGAGAAGCCTTGCAGGTTAAAATTCATGCAAAGAGTTGGCCATGACTTACTGACTAAAGAACAACAACAACAATGCTTATTTTATGGATAAGGAAATTGAGGCTCAGAAAGGTCACACAGCTCATGAGTGGCAGAGCTGGAATTTCCACTGAGGTCTTCCTGACCCCAACGGCAGTGTGGCTGACTGACTCTGCAGGCCTGCAGCATGCTGAACAAACAGGCCGTCTCTTTGAATCAAAGGCCAATAATGCTGTATTGTCTATCTATGCTATGAATATATCTCACCCTAGTTATACATTACTTTGCTAATGGATATATGAGTGGTTTCCAATTGTGAAAGCTGACATAATATTCTTGAACATGTCTTTTGGTGTCATAGGTATGCATTTCTGGTGAGTTCAAACCTACTGTAGTTAAGGCAGTTATTAAAGATTCTTCGGTCTGTCCCAGTTTGAATCAAGAAGTCCATCGAGTGGGAAGGACTCATAGACATCATCCAGGGCAATCTCTTAATTTGCCACAGAGAAATAAAAACTCAGAGAAGTGAGGTCAATGTCCTAAAGCCAAGATGCTCATGTAAGTGGCAGAATCAGGATTTGAGTGGAAGTCTTCTGACTCCAGTTTCAGCACTTTTTGTTGCTTCCCTGACTCGTTTGAAAAAGACGGCAAGAAGAGAGTCCCCTCTCAAGTCCCACACTTGGATCACCTGGGGGAATCGACACAAAGATTAGGGTAAGGTCCCAGCATCCATCCACATGTCAGCTCCCTGTTTACCAGCTCTATGGCCTTGGCCATGTGCCCTAATTACTGCTCTATGTACTCCTCTTTAAAATAGGTATAAATAATGACTCATAGGATCGTGGCAAGGATCAAATAAAACAGACCACTTAGCATAGTGACTAATACAAAGGCTTTGTGGTTGTTTAGTTGCTAAAGCATGTTGGGCTCTTTTGCAACCCCATGGACTGTAGCTCACCAGGCTCCTCTGTCCAGTGGATTTTTCAGGCAAGAATACTGGAGTGGGTTGCCATTTCCTTCTCCAGGGGATCTTACCGACCCAGGGATCGAACCCAGGTCTCCTGCATTGCAGGCAGATTCTTTACCATCTAAGCAACCAGGGAAGCCCAATACAAAGGGTAGTCTCAATTAAATAAGAGCCATTGGTACTGCCTGGGGAAGATTTTTTAAAACCCAAACTAAGGTCCTATTCTCCTGTAGACACCAAATGCATAGGACTGTGGTGAGGATTAAAGATAAAACAGACCACTCAGCACAGTGACTAATACAAAGGCTTTGTTGCTGTTTAGCTGCTAAATCACGTCCGACTGTTTTTTTATCCCATGGACTGTAGCCTATTAGGTTCCTCTGTCCACAGGGTTTCCCAAGGCAAGAATACTGGAGTGGGTTGCCATTTCCTTCTCCAGGGGATCTTTCCAACCCAGGGATTGAACCCTAGTCTTCTGCACTGGCAGGTGGATGGTTTACCACTGAGCCATCAGGGAAGCCCAATACAAAGGCTGGTCTCAATTAAATAAGAACAATTGTTACTACCTGGGGCAGCTTTTTTTTAAAACTCAAAGTAAGTTCCTATTCTCTTGTAGGCACCAAAGCCACCACTCATAAGCTGACCAAAACTAAATGATGGTGGTGACAGCTAACAAAGCTGGCAGCACACCGCTGCTTGGTGTCTGCCAGTCCCCAGGCATCACCCCTCCTCCTTACAACATCCCAGAAATAGGAAGTAAGAGGCTAATAAGGAAGGACCCAGAGTCATACATAGTTTCCTCTGGCTCCCAAGCCCATGCATTTTCTAATACCACTGTTGATAAGATAAAACAAAAATGAAAGTGTTAGTCGCTCAATCGTGCCCAACTCTGCAACCCTGTGGACCGTAGCCTACCAGGCTCATCAGTCCATAAAATTCTTCAGGCAAGAATACCAGAGTGGGTAACTATTCCCTTTTCCAGGGGATCTTCCGGACCCAGGGATTGAACCTGGGTCTCCCGCATTATAGGCAGATTCTTTGCCATGTGAGCCACCAGGGAAGCCCAGAAGATGAAGTAGGATGTGACTGGTATAGGAAACTAGATGCAGAAAAGCAGTAGGTGACCAGTCTATGTATGACATTAAAACATTTAGATGCACAGTGAGTGTAGATACATACAGACAGTCATGCATCTCACCTTGTACCCACAGCTTCCGACACTATCTATAGCACACAGTGAGTCTGCTCATTCAAGCGTAATGACCTGCACTGGTGTTGAATGGAGCTGAATTCTCTCCAGGGAGCTGGATCTCAGTAAGCAAGTGCCCAGAGCAGAGGAGGGGCTGAGATGGTTCTTCTATTAAGGTAAATCCCTATTGTACCAAAGCTGACTTCAATGGTACATTTCAATCCATGAACAGGTAGTTCTGTCCCCTTGTTTCCCAGCACAACCACAGTTCTAGAGAAGGCTTTGGATTTGGCCGAGTGCTAGCTCTGTAGTGTCAAAAAGACTTAGAAGCCAAAGATGCAGGTTAATTCTGGATCCATTACTTGTTTTCCATAGAACCTGGGGCCTGTGGATGAATGTCTGTAAACATCTCTTTGTTGTCACTGTTCAGTTGCTCAGTTGTGTCTGACTTTTTGCGACTGCATGGACTGCAGCATGCCAGGCTTCCCTGTCCATCACCATCTCCTGGAGCTTGCTCAAACTCTTGTCTACTGAATGCCATCCAACCATCTTGTCCTCTGTTGTCCCCTTCTCATCCTGCCTTCAATCTTTCCCAGCATCAGGGTCTTTTTAAATGAGTCAGCTCTTTACATCAGGTGGCCAAAGTACTAGAGTTTCAACTTCAGCATCAGTCCTTCTAATGACTATTCAGGACTGATTTCCTTTAGGATGGACTGGTTGGATATCCTTGCAGTGCAAGGGACTCTCAAGAGTCTTCTCTAACACCACAGTTCAAAAGCATCAATTCTTCAGTACTCAACTTTCTTTATAGTCCAACTGTCACATCCATACATACTAGGAAAACCATAGCTTTCACTATGCTGACCTTTGTTGGCAAAGTGTTGGCAAAGCTTTTCAGTATGCTGTCTAGGTTTGTCATAGCTTTTCTTCCAAGGAGCAAGCCTCTTTTAATTTCATGGCTGTAGTCATCATCTGTAGTGATTTTGGAGCCCAAGAAAATAAAGTCTGCCACTGTTTCCATTGTTTCCCCAACTATTTGCCATGAACTAATGGGACCAGATGCCATGATCTTAGTTTTTTGAATGTTAGGTAAACTTCTTTTACCTAACCTGTAAAATGGTTATGGTGATACTGCATTTATTTTTTTCACTCAATGGATACCTGCTGAGAGACTCGGATACACCAGAACCCATTCTGCAAACAGAAATATTTATCTTCATGGAGGCTTCAGGCAAATAGAGAACAGACAGTAAACAAAGTAAGTAGGTTAAACATACAGGATGACATATGATTAATGACAAAGTAGAGAAAGCCAAGGGGACTCAGGTGGGGGGACTATTGAGATTTTCAATGGGTGGTTGGCAAAGGCTTCTCTGAGAAGGGATATGATTCAAGCAAAGAATTGCAGGAGGCAAGGGAGCATGCCAGGCTGATACAAGGCAAGAACTCAGGCAGAATCAGCAACAAGTGCAAAGGCCCTGAGCGAACTGACTGACTGCAGCAACAATGAGGAGTGCCTGCCTCCTGGGTCGCTGTGAAAGTTAAACAAGATAATAACCCATTTGAAATATCACATTCATAACAAGTGCTCAATAAATGTTAGCTAGGACTATTAATGTTATTCCTGTGGGCACACAAAGGCCCTGCTTTACTAGAAAGTGACTCCGGCAGGCAAGGAGGCCATGGTCACCCTTTGGGGTCTGGACCTTCACTAATGAATGGGCTATGGGCTCTCTGCCAGCCTGATGTGGCAAACCCATGGGCTGTCCAGTTCCTGGGAGAGGATTTCCTGTAAACTGGATTAGGAGGGTATGCACTGAGTGCTGGGGAAAAAGAAGGAAGAACTAACAATAAACCCGGCTTTGTTGCGGTGTCGTGTGGTGTCAATGATTCTAAAGAATGTGGAAAACGATCCCTGGTTCAAGCTTTTGGGCAAAAGTGATCAATGCCTTCCCTTGATAATTTTTCTAGCATTCAAAAACAGAAAGAAGGAAGGAGAGGTGGGGGACGGTGGAGCCAAGTCCTTCATCCTTTTAAGGAGCTCTTTAATGCAGGGTGAGATTTTTCCTTGGAAACTAATTTCTGCTTCTCTTAAATGGGGGAGGGGAAGCATGTGGTAAGAGCTGAACCTGTCAGCAATTATTCAGGGGGGATTCTCAGGAATCATGTAACTAAAGGGGATCCCACGTGGATGGACTCTGTATTGGAAGGCTGGGGACCAGAAGATAAAGGAATTTGCTGGCCTCCTGATGTTGGCTTTTAAGGGCATGCAGTTATCCTAAGCTATGCTTACTTCCCCCCCGCCCCCGAGGTCTCTTATAATTGGTCTCTTCAAGACAATGATGAATCTATTTAAAATCATGGAACTATACTTTAAAAACCAACCAACCTCATGGAAAACGAGATCATATTTGTGGTTAACAGAGGTGGCAGGTGTGGGGGGTGAACTGGATGAAGGTGGTCACAAGGTACAAACTTCCTGTTATAAGAAGAGTAAGTGCTAGTGATGTAGTATACAAGTATTAGTAACACCGCTATATGCTACATGTGAACAAAATAAATGTTAATAAATTCTAGGAATTCTCATCACAAGGACATTTTTTTTCCTTTCTTTCTATTTTGTATCCATATGAGATGATGGATGTTCACTGAACTTACTGTGGTGATCATTTCATGACGTATGTAAGTGAAATCAGTATGCTGTACACCCTAAACTTATACAGGGCTGTATGTCAATTATATGTCAATAATACTGGGAAAAAAAATCATGAAATTCTGAGCTCTTCTCCCTCTTGCCTTCCTTTACCTGCTTCCCTCTCTGCTTCTTGCCCTTCCCAGCCTTCTCTTTGAATGACTTCCTGGACGCTGCAGCACAACTGGCCACACCTCTCCACCCATAAGCTACTCACCTTGCTTCTTGGGGTCCCCTCTAGGGGATGAGTTCTCTGAGGCTGGGAGAACCCATCCCTATGGCAGACCTGGCAGACAGATCCAGAGAACACTTACGACTGAGCTGATAAACAAATGAATGAACTCGGAAATAAGAGAGAACCTGCCCAGAGGTACCCAACAGAAGTTCAGTTAATATCTACTGAATGGCTAATGGTAAAAAGGGCTTTGATACGTGCAAGTAAACTGGTTAAAGACAGAGATCTGAGAAGCCCTGTGGAGCATAGTAAGCTTGTCCTGGAAGGGTGGCCAGGACAAATCAGACCAAGAAGTCAGAACACCGCTCCTGTATTAAATGACTGTCCATCTCCCAATCATAGTGAAAGGTGTCACAACTTTGCATCAGAAAGCTCCTCAGGCCATCGCCTTAGCCCACTTGCTAACTTTGGGCCAAAGCAGAGGGTTGTGGAAAGAGCTAGGGCTGGAAGTCAGGCAGACCTGGGTCTGAATCTGGTCTCTGATGCTCCCTGGTTGTGTGACGCTGTGACAGTCACTTACCGTCTCGGTTCTCAGAGACGTGAAATGGGGGCAGCAAATACAGCTCTTTTCTCCAGAGGCAAGATTCTCTCTGGGGATAGTCTGCCCGGTGAGGAGTTACTTCTGTGGCTCTGTCCTTCAAATACAATATTATACTTCAGTTATACAAAGATTTTAACATACCTGTTGGTGATAATTCCAAAGAAAGGAGGCAATGGGGGAAGAGGACAGTAAGATAAAACAGTAGAAGGTGCTGGAATGGCCATGCTCCACAGTCCAGAGCCATCTGGAGTATCTCACCTGAGTGCTGGAAGGAGCCACAGGAGGCCAGAAGCGGGGAGATGATGCAAATATCTGGCTAAGAAATACTGAAAGGTGAGTGAAGGCTACTGGGAGTGCCTTTCACCCCAGTCATTTAAGTCACAGCTGGGACACAGAATTGGGAAGGTCTCCCTCAATGTCCTACAATCGTATGAACATTTGGAGAGAGTATCAGATACGGCGGGCAAAGCAAACACACTGATAAATGGCTTACTGAGATGCAAGTGGGGGCATGTCCTGTAAAATCAGCATTGAATGAGTAATGATACATGGGAATTAATTTTATAATAGTCATTATTACTAATTACTAATGGACAAAAGATCACTGATGCTCTCAGCTAGAGGCTTCTTTACCACCGTGTTAGAGAACAAAATCCACACTCCAAAGCATGTCGTCACCGCCCAGGAGGCTCTTGCATGACTCCCAGTC